AGCCGTGGATCCAGGAGGACTCCCAAGTTGCGCGCCCTCTCTGAGGGGGCCAGGGTTTCACCCCCTATAGTCAGCGATGGCGTCAGCTGACTATGCCGAGGCGCCGGCAACCACAGCCACTCGGTCTTGGAAGGGTTGAGCCTGAGTCTGTTTCTCCCCATCCAGACCCGTACGGCCTCCAGGCAGCGGGCCATCACGTCAAGGGCATCGTTGGGGTGGCCTGGGGTGGAAATGTACAGCTGAGTGTCATCAGCGTACTGATGGAAGTCCACCCCAAAGCCACGAATGATCTCCCCCAGCGGCTTTACATAAATATTGAACAGAAGGGGAGAGAGGACCGACCCCTGAGGCACCCCACAGGTTAGGGGTCTAGGAGTCGACCTCTGTCCCCCTGCCAATAAGGACTGTGTACGGTCAGTGAGGAAGGAGGAGAACCACCGCATAACGGTGCCTCCCATTCCTAACCCACCGAGACGTCGCAGCATGATACCATAGTCTACGGTATCAAAAGCCGCTGAGAGGTCCAAAAGAACAAGGACAGAGGAATATCCTCTGTCCCGGGCCCTCCAGAGATCATTAACCAACGCGACCAGTGCCGTTTCCGTGCTGTGCCCCAGCCTGAAGCCCGACTGGTATGGGTCCAGATAGACTGTTTCATCCAGGTGCCGAGGGAATTGCTGCGCAACCACACTCTCAACAACCTTCGCCACAAAGCGAAGGTTGGAGACCGGGCGATAATTGGCCAACTCATCTGGGTCCAGGGAAGGCTTCTTGAGGAGGGGCCTCACAACGGCCAATTTAAGGGCCGCAGGGAAGACACCCTCCTGCAAACTGGGTCTCCGTTATTACTTAAAAAGAAAAATAGAAAGCAACCGCTATTTTGCAAGACTGCCAAATCTCACAAGATCTCTGTATTTCTCATGAGATCTCAGAAGCCAGTGCCAAAAACCTGATGGGATTTAGATTATTTTGAAAGCTATTAACAAATGCAGGGTGGGGGAAGATTAAAACTGCACAATGGTGCACACGTTCGAAAAAGCTGATGAACGTTGTGTTCTCAGGAGAACCCTGTTTTGTAATTGGAAGGACTGACAATCCCCATTTATCGCACTAAGATTGCGTTGGAATTACTACTGTACGAAGTCTCCGTTAGCACATACTGTAATTGTTACACTGGCAATTCTCAACCAAAGGAAAGAGCCTCAGAGGATTGTAATTACGCAAGGAGTGTAGACTGCAGAAAACTTGTCTCTGCATCTCGTACTTTGCTGCGTTTTTCCGATTAAATAAGTGAGCGGGCAGATCGACCATCTAGAATTATGGGTACATTTCAATAAAACAGGATCAATATCATTAAGAGCAGCAATACTTGAAAAGAAGATCTGTTTATGGACTCAGGATGTCCAAGTCTAAGAATTAAAAACAGGCCACTGTTTTTAAAACATTGCAAAGAATGTTTTAATATCTGAATTAGAAAAAAAGAAAACACTTCAGCTGACGATCACGGAAACACATATAGATAGTCCTCAACTTACAACAGTTCGTTTAGTGACTGTTCAAAGTTACAATGACACTGGAAAAGTGACTTAGGACTGTTTTTCATGCTTATGACCACTACAGCACACACACCTCCAGTCACGTTAAACAAAATTGGGATGATTGGCAACCAGCTCACATTTATGAGGGCTGCAGTGTCTCCTGGGGTGAAGGGGGTCCCCTTTTACGGCCTTCTGGCAAAGTCAGTGGGGAAGCCAGATTCATTGAACAACCATGTTACTAACTTAACAACTGCAGTGATTCACTTAACAACTGTGGTAAGAAAGGTCAAAAAATGCAGCAAAACCCATTTAACAACTGCCTTGCTTAACGATGGAAATATTGGGCTCAGTTGTGGCCGTACGTTGAGGGCTAGATATAACAGATTAATCAGCAACTGCCATCCCATTTTATTTGGCTGGAACAGGGTGAGGGGCTGGGTGGAAGGCTAAGGATTTTGTTCTACGGCAGGGGTGTCAAACTCAATTTCATGAGGGCCGCATCAGCATTGCGGTTGCCCTGGGGGGGCCAAGTGGGTGTGGCCAGAGTGGGTACGGCCTGCTGGGTGGGCGTGGATGGAGTGGGTGTGGCCTACTGGGTGGGTGTGGCCAGTTCTACATCATTTGCGTCAAGGGTGCCTATGGGGGGCCTGGGCAGGAGTGGGACAGATCTGAGGGTCTCTGCCAGAAGGGGGTGAGACCGGGGCAAGTGCCAAGGCATGGTCCACCGGGGCAAGTGCCAAGATGGCCACCACAAAATTGTACATTGGCTCCCGGCCAGCCTGGGCCAGGGCCAAGGCAGCGGGGGCCGTTCCCTCACTGTTTCCAGGATGGCTTCGCGGGCCACATGAAACAACTTCGCGGGCCGCATCCGGCCCCCGGGCCTTGTGGTTGACATGTCTGTTCTACAGGATTGAGTAAGGCAGTGTTTCTCAACCTTGACAATTTTAAGGCATGTGGACTTCAACTCCCAGAATTCCACAGCCAGCAATGCTGGCTGTGGAATTCTGGGAGTTGAAGTCCACATGCCTTAAAATTGTCAAGGTTGAGAAACACTGGAGTAAGGCCTATAAAAGTCCAGCTACTGACTCCTTCCTTCCACGCTCCATCTGCACAGTGAGAAGTAAAGAGGCATCACAGACCCTAATGGTCTCAAGGGAACCCCCTTGACGGGGGATATAATTACGTCAAGACTTTGCATAAAATTAGACGTGCATTGCCACAAAAACTGCACTGCCCTCTTAAAAGGAGCCCTTGCCGTTTAGTAGGCTCCACTTGCCTTACACAATCAAAGCCCTGCTTCTTTTTGATGTGCACTGCATTAATCAGAAGATTAAAGAAGAAAAAAGCAGATCTAAAGAGGGTTCGTCTTTGATGTACAGAGCACCTTATGTGCCCACTTAAAAACGTACCGTTATGCTGCAGGATTCTCCATCACGTTCAGAACGAAAGTCCACGTTTCCAAGGTGCAGGATGGCAGCGAGTATTTTAAAAATGGTCATCTGATAGGACTCCTTTACTCCTGAAAAACATGATTGATATCCAATTTTCAAGTGCCTGAACAGCAATTGCCAGCAGTCTCGGCGAGCATGACATACGACCAGGGATGCTGGAAGGCGGATTTTCAGCAAAATCTGGACCGTCATAAATTGCCCATCCCGGGACCACAAACATCACAGTTTAGGGGAAAAGGAAGCTGCCTTCTCTTTAACTTGGGGAGGGTGGACCTATACATTTTGGGTGACATGCCAGCATTCACCAACTCCCAACAACAGCTGCAGGCAGTCTTTGAACCGTTCTAAGTTATAACGGCCCTGAAAAAGTGACTTATGACTGGTTTTACGACCATTGTAGCAGCCTCATGCTCACATTATCAAAACTGGGGCGCTTGGCCACTGGCCTGTATTTGTGAGAGTTGCAGAGGCCTGGTGATCACGGGATCACCCTGTGTGATCTTCCCAGTTGACTCCCAACAAGCAAAGTCAATGGGGGAGGCCAGATTCGCTTAACGACCGCACGATTCACTTAACATCTGCAGTGATTCGCTTAACTGTGGCAAAAAAGATCTCGCTGAACAAGTTGTTCAGCAACAGAAACGTGCTTGTAAGCTGAAACTACCTATATTCCCGAATGCACACCCTTTTCTTGCACAATTTTTGGAGGCTGGGGAAGCCATGCAAGAATTGTGTGGGCTCTTACGCAGCCCCTGGAAGACCCACAACAGGGTCTGGGCTCTTGTGCAGTCTTCACCGCCTCCCAAAATGAATTTTACTAATTATTTTTGTCATTATTGATGGTAATGATAGCATCACACATGACTGGGCCGTATTTTTTTTAAATAAATAAATGAAAATGCAAAGAATTATTTCTCTTGTGCTTGGGGCATGTGTGTAAGACACAACAGCAGAGTCAAGATAGGTATTTTGAGCACAAAAGATTCACCATCACTCCTTTAAGTCCTTCTATTCCCATTTTAGCCCCTGAATAGTGACTGGCAACACAAGAAACCACAATGTGAATAAGCAACAAAAAGAAATCATACTCTAGTAAAGGGCCAAGGAAGTGTCTTCACAGAGCATCCAACCACAGGTGTGTGCATACACACTCACACACTTTTTTAAGCACAACACAAATGGTACTAAGAAATTCTATCCTACAAGCAGCACTATGTAAAATTTACTTTCTAACCTCATGCTGCTCCTTACAGTTTCTGCCAATACTGAATACTGAAGATAACTACGTTAAATATTAAATATGTGCAGCTTATCAAGCAAACCAATTATTTAATTAAACTGGTAACCTATAAAAGTCTTAGCAAAGGCCATTGGACAGTATACACAAATGTCTCCAAGGTTTACACCAGGGGTCTTCCAACTTGGCCCTTTTATGACTTGTGGACTTCAACTCCCAGAATTCCTCAGCCAGGCACGCGTGCCTGGCTGAGGAATTCTGGGAGTTGAAGTCCATAAGTCATAAAAGGGCCAAGTTGGAAGACCCCTGGTTTACACTGATGTTTGTCCAACTCGGCAAGTTTAAGATGCATCTGGCTGGGGGATTCTGGGAGTTGAAGTCCACACGTTAAGTTGACAAGTCTAAAAAACTTTACACTGTAGGGTCCTTGATGCTCTCTGAGCTTGGTGGACTGACGATGTTACCCAGTATGGTAATGAGACGTCTGCAAGAAAACCACCAAGCTCAAAGAGCACCAAGGACCCCACAGTTCAACCCTGAGCTACAAATATTCTCTTCTATCGAAACTTAGCAATATTATGAAAAGTTCCTGAAGGGTAACTCTAAATCTTTGTGCAGGATAGCTGTATCGGCCACATGTTCTCCTAGGAAGCAGCCCAACGTGGCACGGAGCCCTTACCAAGCAGGGCGAAGGCTTGCCTCGTCTTCTCAAAATCCTCGGCGTCATCAACTCCTTCAAGGGATGTGTCTCCCCCCAAAGACGTGTAGAAAAAGTCTTTGGCATCCACTAGAAGACAAAGAAGCAAAAGCAAGTTAAGGGGGGAAATGTTGGGCTTACGTCACGTTTCCCACAAAGTCTTGGCTAAGCTTGAAACCTGAGCCCACCAGGCAAGAATCTGTGTGCACAATAAGCACAGGAGAATGATGCATCACACCACATCAGCTCCACCCAGGACCCAGTCGGTCCATTTCTGGTCTTCCATCACGGTCATTTGAGGCAGTTCTTTAAACTCCCATTGGCTCTTCAGTAAACCAAGAGGTGGTGGTGGTGGTTGTTGTTGTTAGTTGCGAAGTCGTGTCCGACCCATCATGACCCCATGGACGTTCCTCCAGGCCTTCCTGTCCTCTACCATCTTCTGGAGTCCATTGACGCTCCCGCCTCCTGCTTCAGGGACTCCATCCAGCCCCCTCCTTCTCTGTCGTCCCCTTCTTCTATTATTGCCCTCCATCTTTCCCATCCTTAGGCTCTTCTCCAGGGAGTCTTTCCTTCTCCTTAGGTGCCAAAGGACTTGAGTTTCCACTTCAGGATCTGGCCTTCTAAAGAGCAGTCGGGGTTGATCTCCTCCAGGACTGACCGGTTGGATCGCCTTGCAGTCCGGGGGACTCGCAGGAGTCTTCTCCAGCACCAGAGTTCAAAGGCCTCACTTCTTTGGCGCTCAGCCTTTCTTAGGGTCCAACTTTCACAGCCATACATGGCAACTGGGAAAACCATGGCCTGGACTGTACACACTTTTGTTGGCAGGGTGATGTCTCTGCTTTTTAGTATGCTGTCTAGATTTGCCATAGCTTTCCTCCCCAGGAGCAAGCGTCTTTTAATTTCTTGGCTGCAGTCCCCCTCTGCGGTGATCTTGGAGCCCAGGAAGATAAAATCTGTCACTACCTCCATTTCTAAAGGATATCAATCCTGACTGTCCTTTGGAAGGACAGATACTGAAGCTGAAGCTCAAATATTTTGGCCAGCAAACGAGGAGACTCATTGGAAAAGACAATGATGCTGGGAAAGATTGAAGGCAAAAAGGAGAAGGGGACGGCTGAGGATGAAATGGATAGATAGTGTCATTGACGCAACAAACAGGCATTTGGGCAAACTCTGGCAGACAGTGGGGGCCTGGAGTACTGTGGTCCCTGGGGTCACAAAGAGTCAGACAGAATTTAGCAAGTAAACAACAACAAATCAGGCTTATCTCTGATTAGTGACAGGCAGAGGCTGCATTAGGAGTGATCTCATCCAGAGCTTTAGAGATCTCTGAGTTTCCGAGATCAACCAGATAGGAGATGGAACTGTCAAGCACCTGTTAATTCCTTCTGGATCCATAGGACAAACCGGTGGGGCCATTTTAAAGGGCCCACTGCCCATGCACAGGTCTAGGGCAGGGGTCTTCAAACTTGGCCCTTTTATGACTTGTGGACTTCAACTCCCAGCGATGCTGGCTGAGGAATTCTGGGAGTTGAAGTCCACAAGTCATAAAAGGGCCAAGTTTGAAGACCCCTGGTCTAGGGCATCCATCTGCAATTTCACAAGGAAGTGCTCTGATTATGGCAGATGTTAATGTTCTGCAACTACAGATCATCTGCTCCAAAGTGAAGACTAGGGCTAGTTTGTGCCCAACTCTGTGTGTCAGGGCCACAATTTCAAGCCACAAGTGCATGGATGCCATGGAGATCATAAACTCACCAGATCCTCCCTTAGAGAATGGAAACAGAAAGCAGGAAAAGCCTGGGGAACTTCAACACCGTTCCTGGGGCGATTTCAAAATTGTCATGTTAGACTGCAGTCTGCTTATTTTGTTTCCTAAAACCAATTCTGCCGCTGTTTGTACAACTTCCTTCTTCCTCTAGAGCAGTGTTTCTCAACCTTGACCATTTTAAGGCATGTGGACTTCAACTCCCAGAATTTCACAGCCAGCTATGCTGGCTGTGAAATTCTGGGAGTTGAAGTCCACATGCCTTAAAATGGTCAAGGTTGAGAAACACTGCTCTAGACACAGTTCTTTTTCTTGGAAATGCTAGGCTCCACAAATTTATTATTTGGAGTTTCAGGAATTATTTGAAGGTAAAAGTAAAATACAACAGAGCTTTTTCATTGGGGAGGCTGAATTCTGGGTACAAAAATAGCCCGCTTACCTAGTGAGAGATCCTTCAGTTCTGGGAGAGCCGCAGAGGCACACAGCTGGTAGAAAATGTGGTAGTTCCGCTCATCGGCTGCCTGAGAGAGAACACTGGTTTACTTGCAGAGAAATGAGCCACAGTTAATTAAATATCACTCAGCCTCATTTCTGGAGAGCTTGTGAGACTGCAAATTAAGGAGCACTTTATTCGCCTATCGCCTTGCAGGTGGTCCTCGCTTTACAACCATTAGTAGGACCTGCAACGGAGTCCCTTTCCTCTTTCTCTAGATTTATTCAGACTCAGATTTCACACACATTTCTTCAAGGTAAGAATGGGTTTTAAATATATATATATATATATATAATCTACAATTAGCTTTGATCTAATTCAGGGGTAGTCAACCTTGGCTCTTTTATGACTCGTGGACTTCAACTCCCAGAATCCCTGAGCCAGCACAGCTGGCTCAGGAATTCTGGGAGTTGAAGTCCACGAGTCATAAAAGAGCCAAGGTTGACTACCCCTGATCTAATTAAACTATGAGATGAGTGTTAAGTAAATGGCAAACAAACTGGCACTGTCCTGATTATGGTTATGGAAGCGTGGGAGGGGGTCCAAAAGCAGGGTCCTTAGAACTGACGAGGGACCGATTGTCTTCATTCCATAGCCGAAGGACGGAGGCTGGAGAAGGGCCCCTTTCCAATTAAGCTTTTATGGATTGTAGGCCTAATACGAGTCTACAGCCTTGGGATTTTCTAGAGGTTTCCGATCCATCAACTAGCCAGAACTGATCCTGCTTAAGTGACTCTGATGACTCAGCGTGTCTCTTCTAATTAGGATCTAAAGGGAGATGTTATGTATGTCACCTTAATCTCAAATGGACAAAGCAGAAACGATGGAGGGATAAAGGTACAAAAACACAACGCTCAAGCCAATATTGGTCCATAGCTACAAATAACTTACCACCACAAATTCTTGACTTACCACCACAAATGATCCCAAATTTTCCTTGCTGAGCAAGACGGCCATTAAGCCAGTTCTGCCCCATTTTGCTATCTTTCTTGCCACAGAAGGCAACTGGGCTTTCTCTCTTTTTCCCCCCCCTTGAAACGTTTCGCTTCTCATCCAAGAAGCTTCTTCAGTTCTGAGTGAAGGACTGGCATTCTTCGGAAGCAAAGAAGCTTCTTGAAGGAGAAGCGAAATGTTTTCAAGTGAAAATCTTTGGGACAACCGTGACCCGGATGACGCAGAGTCTTCATAGACACTTTTCCCCGCCCCGGTTGTTAAGTGAATCACTGCAGTTGTTAAGTTAGTAACATAGTTGTTAAGTGAATCTGGCTCCCTATTCACTAGCTGAGAGGAGGAGATGATGAACAATGATATATATCAATATATCTATATATCTATATATCTGTATCTATCTCTATCTCTATCTCTCTATCTATCTATCTATCTATCTATCTCTCTATCTATCTATCTATCTATCTATCTATCTATCTATCTATCTATCTATCTATCTATCTATCTATCTATCTATCTATCTATCTATCTATCTATCTATCTATCTATATCTATCTCTATACCTATACCTATATCTCTATATATCTATATACCTATATATAAATTATAATATATAAATAATAAATAAATAAATAAATGATAAATAAGCTAACCTGGAATACAACTCTTGATTTCTCAAGCAGGTACGTCCTCATGTTGGCACCAATGATTCGGTATCTTTTATCAAAGCCGATCTGAATGTATTTCCCAAAACGGCTGCTATTGTCATTCCGAGTTGTTTTCGCATTGCCGATTGCCTTGATGAAATTAATAAAATGTTAAAAATATCCTATCTTTTTTTCAACCATATTCATTTATCTCACAGGTATACGTCGTAAGTTAATTGCATATAACTAAAAAAACACATAAAGACAAAGGCCGAGAGAATGAAAGATGGAGATAGCAGCATTTCTTGAAGATGAAGCGCTACACTCTTTAACAAGATCATAAAATATCTTTCAGCCTTCTCCCCTCTACCTGTGGAGCAAAAACCAGCAATGATTGATTTTACAAGCTTGTTTTATTAGAGTGTTAACAATGAAGTCGGCAGCAAAGTAATTATGACAAGATTTTGTTATCATATTTAATTAACACTCTAGATTCTCTAGATCAGCATTTCTACACATATACCGACAGACATAGAATTTTAAGCAACCTTCAATTTCATAACAAATACACTCGTTATAACTAATGCAATAAAGTGTGTATTTACATGAATTTATTTGGAGACAGACTTATGCTACAACAGACTGCAGTTTTCAAGCAAGACACAGAAGTTTACTTCACTCATTCTTTGACTTGTTTGGTTTTGGCCTATTGTGTGGTGTGAATCCAGCCATTGTTGCTGGCGGATCATGGTTTGTGGTGTATTATCTTACATGGACCCAAACAACTGTGTTTTATTCAAAGAATCCCGATTTACCATAATTAGTCTACAGTTTTTGCTGTCTACAGTGTTTGCCTTCTAAGAGAGATCAATGGCAGCTTTCAGTTCTGGATACAGCTTCACTGATTGATTTTTATTTTTTTTTACTACATGTAAAGTTGGGACAAAGCCACATATTTGCTTCTTAATAGCTCAGAATTTGAGATAAACTGATTACGGTAAAGCAATTGACTTGAACTGTGCTTCCAAAGGTATTACTGAAACTGTGCTTAGCAACCGGGCTTGCTAAGTGACCAACAGCTTATATAACAACAGAACTTAGCAGTATGCCTCTAAAAATACTAGCCAAAACTAAAATTAATAACAACAACACACTGGCATAGAAAATAGTGTCTTATATCAAGAATTCACAACTCTGGATCTTAATTTAAGCTTTAATGAAGGCATGGATTTTGGTTTTAAAAGTTGATTAAAAGCAAAAATAATAATAACGCCTTCATGCAGATAATCTTCTGCTCCTATTTTCTACCTTATTGGAGTTTTTGAAATATGAACAGATTTTTTTTATGCAATGTCCACAGACATAGAACAACGTGGTAATAAAAGTCCTTTGACAGATATTAGAAAAGGAGAAGCAAAGCTATTAAATTCTCAAGATATAAATATGTCACTTAGTCTTTTAGTAACGTTCCTTCATAGGAAGGGATCCCAGTAATTGCTGCACTTAAGCACAATGCACTTTTGTGCAGTGGTGGGATTCAAATAGGTGAACAGCCGGTTCTCTGTCTGGATGCCACTTCTGGAAGTCCATTCTGGGTCTGGGCAACAAAAAATTAGCTCCCGGTTCTGCCGAACTGGTGCAAACCAGCTGAATCCCACCACCGCCCTCCTAGTGTTATGTGGGTCAATTGGGGCATTCACACAGCAAACTAAAGCATAACATGTTTTAACATTTGTTTGGGAAAGCCTTATTGTAATGCAGAACCTCGGATCCAGTCACTATCTTTCTGCCTGTGACTAAAACCCTCAAATACTAAAATTCAAGGAAAGAATTTAAGGTAAAGAAGAAAACTAATCGCTACTTACACCGATAGTAAAGAATATTTGTAGCTCAGGGTTGAATTATGGGGTCCTTGGCGCTCTCTGAGATTAATGGATTTCTTGCTGATGTTTCATCACCCAACTAGGTAACATCATCAGTGCTAGAATGGAGGGCGGGTTGCTCTCTGTTTATATATGTTACCCTCAATGTCTGAAATTGGGCATTTTATAGAATGCCTAGGAAATCTATAGAATGCCCAAAATGGGATGTCAAAGTATGAAATGCTTAAGATTTCACACATTTCCTAGACCAGTGGTGGCGAACCTATGGCACTGGTGCCAGAGGTGGCACTCGGAGCCCTCTCTGTGGGCACACGTGCCGTTGCCCCAGCCTCGCCTCCCCCTGTGACCCCCTCCTCTCCAGCAGCCCCCCTGGAGGAGAGTCGCCCCCGAGTGTGGCCCACGCGGAGCAGCGCAGCCAAGGACATGGCAGCCAGGCAGCGTAGACAAGACTCTGCCCTCACACCCCATCGTGCACAGTTGATGCTGTGGGGCGCGGGCAGAGGGCGTGGCCGCAATGGTGCTGCTGGGCTGCCTGGGCGATCTGCGGCCGGCCCTGGAGGCGGTGAGTGGCCCTGTGGGCAGGTGGGGGGGCGGAGCAGGGGTGGGGCCAGTTTTTGGGCACTCGGTCTCTAAAAGGTTCCCCGTCATTGTTCTAAGTCTTTAAAGCTCAGCCCCTGAAAGAGGCGGATGGGGAGGGTTTGGGCAGCTTTTTCAAAGAGGGAGAAATATGTTTCGTTTCTGAGAAATCTTTCTGATGTTCCTCTCGGTCAGTCCTGCGGCTGCAGCTTACGCAGCAGCAGTATTAAGGGCTGCCCTGTAGAGTTCATTATGGTCGCCCAAAGGTTTTACTTTTCACCTCAAAAATCAAACCCTGGTACGGAAATAAAATGAAATTCAATTAAGATACTCATCACCGAGCATTAGGGCCGTGTTGGCCTCGCCGGCTCACACCACCGTTTAATTTTAATTGATTGGCTGCCCTGAGGCCTTTGCACATCTCTGACCCGATTTCGGAAACTGCCTGCGTCAGCCCAGCCGAAGGACGGGGAGGGCGAGCGAGCTGAAAGGCGGCCCCGAGGGAGAAGACACGGAAGGAGACTATTCGTAGCTCAGGGCTGACGTGAGGGTCCTGGGCGCTCTCTGAGCTGGCTTGTTTTCCTGCAGACGTTTCATGACCCAACTAGGTAGCCTCATCAGGGCTCGTCACAAGCTCAGAGAGCACCAAGGACCCCACACAGAAAACATTTACACAGAGGGCTGAAAACTCTCACAAATCTGCTAAGACGTCTGAAAAATACCCCCTGGTAATATTGACTGACATTCCATTAGAGCAGGGGTCTTCCAACTGGGCCCTTTTATGACTTGTGGACTTCAACTCCCAGAACTCCTCAGCCAGGCAGAGCATCCAACCACAGGCGTGTGCATACACACTCACACACTTTTTTAAGCACAACACAAATGGTACTAAGAAATTCTACCCTACAAGCAGCACTACCTAAGATCTACTTTCTCACCTCATGCTGCTCCTTACAGTTTCTGCCAATACTGAATACTGAAGATAACTACGTTAAATATTAAATATGTGCAGCTTATCAAGCAAACCAATTACTTAATTAAACTGGTAACCTATAAAAGTCTTAGCAAAGGCCATTGGACAGTATACACAAATGTCTCCAAGGTTTACACCAGGGGTCTTCCAACTTGGCCCTTTTATGACTTGTGGACTTCAACTCCCAGAATTCCTCAGCCAGGCACACGTGCCTGGCTGAGGAATTCTGGGAGTTGAAGTCCACAAGTCATAAAAGGGCCAAGTTTGAAGACCCCTGCATTAGAAGGGGCGTTGTCTTACCTGAACGCCTTTTCTCAGCACAGAGATGGAGAATCCACCATTGGGTAGTAGACTGTATTCCTGCCCAATCAGATCAAGTCAGCCAAAGTTGCCAGGCCGTCCTGGACCGTTGATCTTTGACGCGAGCGTAGCCATTGACTGACAGCAAGACGTTGTGGCTCACCAAACTAACTGACCCTATGCTTATACAAAAATGTACAAGGGAGGGAGGTGGATTCTCCATCTCTGTGCTGAGAAAAGGCGTTCAGGTAAGACAACGCCCCTTCTCCAGCACTTGAGATGGAGAATCCACCATTGGGACATACCAAAGCCTACTGTCCCTGAGGGTGGGTAGTAGACTGGTCCCGAGTGGCACTTTGGGATAAAACCTGTTGGAGAACCCTCCTTCCGAATGAAGCCTCAGCCGAGGCAAACTTGTCAATTTTATAGTGCCTAATGAAAGGAGATGGCGAAGCCCAAGTTGCTGCCTTGCAAACTTCCTCGATGGAAGCCTGAGTGGCCCATGCCGCCGAAGTAGCCGCACTTCATGTGGAATGGGCGGTCACACCCCGCAGAACCGGCAACGACTCAGCTTTGTAAGCTCCGGCGATGCATGCCTTTATCCATCTCCCCACAGTGGAAGAGGACACTTTCCGACCTTTGGTAGATGCGTGGAAAGATACAAAGAGGGCTTCCGATTTCCGGAACTCCGCAGTCCGTGAAATATAATATTTCAGGGCTCTGCGGACATCCAAACAATGCCATTGACCCTCCAACCCATGCGACGGGTTGGAACAGAAATCAGGCAGCACTAACTCCTGTGACCTATGGAATATGGAATTAACCTTCGGAACAAAGGTAGGGTCTAATCGAAGAATAACGCTATCCTGTTGGAAAATACACAAGTCCTCCCTCACTGAAAGTGCTGCCAGTTCTGAAATACGACGAGCAGATGTGATAGCTACCAGGAAGGCCACTTTATGGGACAGAGAACAAATGTCACATGTCCTGAGGGGCTCAAATGGAGACTTAGTGATAGCCTGAAGTACCCTTGACAACTCCCAGGAGGGGTATCTGTGTACCACAGGAGGATTTTTGTTGGAGGCTCCCTTAAGGAACGACCTTATCAAGGGGTGATGACCCAGTGATTCAGCAGATTCGCATGAGAAGATCATAGACAAGGCAGCGACTTGCCTGCGAAGGGTATTGGGGGCTAAACCTTTGTCCAAACCATCCAATAAATAATCCAGAATAATTGGAACAGTAAGTGCCGCAAGTGATAACTTCCGCCCCGAACACCAGGATTGAAAATTTTTCCACGTGGCCTCATAAATGCGGTTCGTGGACGGACGGCGCGATGCCTGAATAATATTTATAACCCCTTGTGAGCAGCTCTCCCCAGCTAAGATCGAGCGCTCAAGTGCCAGACGGCTAACTGG